TCTAAGTCTTGCAACAGTATCCGGTCATGTGACCTCTTTGTTCCATACTGTATATATATATCTGTGTAAACTACTTGTACCTGATGATGACAAAACCTTGTTGAAACGTTGTACATTTGCTATTATGTTAAACTTATATTGAAGTTTTTCTTCATTACCCATTCAAGCCGTCTCCAGGCATTATTAATATATCTAGATATACTTTGAAAATCACATTAAAAAAATCTTTCATTTAAACCGTTTTGTAAAAAATAAAAGAAAACAAATAAAAACTTCAGTGTTTGAAAGTATGAAGAGCATGACAGTTCAAAGTACAGTAATCATAACAGAATCCTTAGAAAAAAAAAGTACAATGTAAAGAGGAATGCTATAGAACAAGCAAGTAAAGTGCAACTTGAATTTTTCTTCAAAATTCTAACCTTCATTCATAAATATTCAAACAAATGCAGTCAAAATAGTCATGTCTCCATTAGCTTCCAGTTGCAACCATATCTTACATAGTTTTATCAATATGTATTCTTAATTTAGCTCTTCATTAACAAACTTTACTGCTTATTTTGGAACAACGTTGATGTTGTCTGAAGACTTAATACAATTCAACCCATAAACATATTTGTTTGTTTGTTTGTCAAACCTTCATGCAAATCCACTCAAAGGCTATCTGCACTAACCATCCCTAATTCTGAATTGATATACTAGAGGAAAGGTAGCTAGTCAACACCATCCATTGCCAACTATTGAGTTACTCTTTACCAACGAATAATGGAATTGATCATCATATTGTAACATCCCCATAGCTGAAAGTGCAAGTGTGTTCAGTGTCAGGATTTGAAACTATGACCCACAGACTGACCCACTAACCACCAGGCCATGCCATGCCAATTCTGCTAAATTAAACACTCACTTCTTTCTCTCTTTCTTCTGCTTCTCTCGTCTTGAATTTCTTCTGTACTTCTTTGATAAGTCTAAAAGCTGTATTAAGATTTGATGAAGGGGCTGAGATCTCACCTGGTTCCTTGACATTTGTACTGCGATAGGTGCTGAAAAAATAGAAAAAGAGTGTTTTGTATGATAAATTCCAAAGAAAAAAAAATTTAACATTTGCTCTGAAAAGAGAAAAATTACATTTTTATTGAATGAAAATAATAAAAAGATACAGGTTTGTTTGTTTGTAATAAAGCACAAAGCTACACAAGGGCTATCTGTGCTTTGCCCACCACGGGTATCGAAACCCGGTTTCTAGCGTTGTAAGTCCGCAGACATACCACGGTGCCATTGAGGGGGGGGCAAGAAACAGGTTTAACCTTCTCGCTACAGGCTTGGTGCATTACACCAATCTTGTGACCTCAAAGCCACCATCAGTTTCCATACTATAATGTTTAATATGATTTGTGTGTCTTCATGAATATTTTCAATCTTTTAATAAATATTACAAGTCTTTTATAGACAAAATATTTGAGTTTTTAACTAAGAATTTTTAATAAAAATGTGTCCTTGAATGTATGGGGTCAGAATGCTTGTGCAAAGTGCTTTCCATGTTAAGATTTAATATAATTTTCTTCATCTGAAATTTTCATATTTCATTTGCATAATCTGCAAAACCTCCTAAATAAATATCAAACGTTTTTTTGTTTTGTTTGGCAGAAAACTTTATATTTTATCTATTACTTTTTCCACCATAACTCTATACATGATTGGTTGATTTAACCAACCTCATAACCACCACAAAAAATTAGGAAATAAATCTAATTTACCCTTTTTTCTTTAGAAAATGAATGCAAATTTTAACAGGAAACCACAATTGTTTATCTAGATAGCTTAAAACTTGTAACAATATACATCTGTTTATACTTAGATTTTATAATTTGATTGCCCCAAGTCTAATTAATAATCTCACCTCACAGGTTGTAAATCACTTGGTAAATGTGCAACTCATGTTACCCATGTGTACTGTATCAAACTACATAATGCACAAGCTGCTTGCAATAATACTTTGTGAATAATGCTTACATTTTAGTTACTTTTATAATAATAAATGAAGAATCCACATCAAAAACAAGAAATATATTACTTGCTTGGGTCTCTTTTTTTTTGCTGTCAACCATTAATGAAACAAGCTTATTTTTTATACTTATGGTACTAGTACACTAAATTTTTATTTAACTAAATAATGCACCTTAAAGCACAGAATAACAACACCCACAGAGCAAACAATGTCTTATAACTATTCTTATTTTTATGGCTTTCTAACTATGCAATAAGTCTTTAAAAATTTAGCTAAGCTCATCAATGTGATTCTCCTGAGAGTAAATTTAAAACTAAACAATGAAAATTGACAATGCCCCATACAGAAAACAATGTAATATAATATATCATTTGATAGATTAAAACTTTGGCTTTCTATTAGTTATAAACAAAAAAGTATTAACTTCAGAGAGAACTAGTAGCAATTGTTTAAAGAGAGGAAGTGACAGGTGGGCATGGCAAGTGGGGTCTGATTTTCTATTTGATGGCTCTGTAACCAAATAAGATCGAAGGCTATAAAAGTTTGCTCTGCTTGAATAATGATAACATTATAATGAGTAACTTACATTATCAACCTACGTCAAACAGCAATCGAGTACAAAGGTCGTAACTAGAAGAGATAGTTGTTTGCTTTACATCTTTATTTACTGTTTTATGTCTTAAGAAAAATAAGTTTAAGAACTTGTTTCAAAATAGCAATAACTTGTATACATATATAATGTATAATAATTGAAATGTGAGTGTATTTTACAAAATACTAGTCTACTAAAACACAGCCAAGACAGG